AGAAATTATCATGCCTACAATTAACTCCGGACTAGGTTCGTTCCTCTAAGTCTTCCTACCAATATGAGCAAGTTGCGAAAACAAGGTTAAACAACTTCTATACAACAAAAGGAGACTGCGAACACACAAAAAGCCACACCATCTTGGTCTTCATATCTTCGAAAAATAAACAATTTACTCGATTGATATAGTTAATATAACTTTGCTTTATCAACACCTTAGGCAAAGAATGTGGTACGGGAACTTGCCTCACCTTCCTTTAAATTCACATCTGATTTGTGACCTTAAGCGAAATAGGGTGAATACCTCTTATATAATTGTATAATGCCGCATTCCCTCAGTAGTTCGCTTATTTTTTCGACACCTGGCAGGTTACTAACATCAAGGGACTAATAAAGTTGACTCCCTACCTGTTTTACCATAAATATATATGTTTCATCTTATTTTATTATATGATATTGCGCGAAAGTTACAGAGTTGTCCAGATGGATAACTTTAATAGACTGAAATTATTTTGAGGTTTTTGCTTATAGGTCTTGATATTTGCATCTGCTAGATGTAAATTTCTTATTAACATTACTGTTATAACTCCATAATAATGATTGAAAAAGAAATTTGTGTTTCCTTTTTACGTCTCTTTCCAACTTGGTTTCTTCTTCATAAGGGAACACCCTTTTCTAACTACATTGAGAATCTAGTTTCCTCACCTATTATATTCTGAGTGGCTCACCAACAAAGTAGTTGTCCACTTATCTAATCTTTAGCTTAGGAACTGGGACCTTGTTTCCTCGTTTGCATTAGGCGAGGTTCAAAGTGAGCTGGCCCAAATTAGCTAAAATTGGAACTATTACGATCCCTTAGTTAAACCTCGATCTCACCTATACAACATATTATTGAGGGCTAAATATGTACTCTTATTTAGTGAATTAGTTAGCCTAATATTTGACTGCTTAGCGTTTTACTCATTATATTATTTATATGCTAATTCGATTTTTAATCATAAACCTGTGTTGCTTCTACCGGCTTATCATAGCCAAAATTATAGGATTTGCATTCCTTGGTCATAGATAAACCACTATGTCTTATGCATTACGCACCTCATGTGCCTGATGAGGGAAATGATAACATGTAACCGGATGCATTCTTGCTTTCTTTGAAGCAAAAGCCATTTGCCTTTTTTAGTGAACAAAGGGTATTTTGACCTCAGCAAAGACTGATAAATGCGCCTTTCGAATAAAATAAAGGCATCAAACACAGTGTTTCGAATAATGAGGTACTTATTTATCGATCATAGTCGGAAAAAATGAATGCATTTCATTTCCTTCCAAACCCATAAATTTGTGGGGAATGGGCAATGCCCTCACAGGATCTGGACTCAGGTGTGGTTTCAGAAGAAGACTACCAGGCACATAGTGGAATTACATGTTCATGCGTTCTGTGCAGAGCCCGCTATTACGTATCTTTTGGACAAGGAACTGAGAAAGGATTGACACATATGTTGGAGCAATTAGACTATTTTCATATTTTGAACGATCAAAAACAGATTTTTTCCTATACTTTTCCCTTCGTGCCGCAACTGAATACTTCCTATCCGTATGGAAAAAAGTGTTTTCAGGAATTCCCCAATCAAAACTTTGGATGTTATAAGAGGCATGGTCTTTCAGATAGAAGGAGTAGTGCCATTGAGGATAACATGTTCAGGGGTCAGCAATCACTTGAAATAAATAGAATGGGGCTTGGAGAAACAACCTTTGATAGCAATTATAGAAATGAACAAAATATTGCCTCCCCAAAAATGTGGATTTCTAAGAATTCCGTTCTGCATATTAAACTATCTTCTTATGTCTCATTGGAACGCTCTGGAACAGCCTACCGGTTAATTAATTATCGTAATAATTCAGCGTTGGCTTTAAGTCTAAATGGCGAATATGGATTTGCTTATCACTACAATTGCAGAGGGCTTGTTAATCTTCATCATGAAAAAGTGTCAATAAATTTTGATAAGGATAGACAAGTAATTCTCCGCAACGAGGATACCAGCTTCGTTAAAAAGGAAAAGGAATTTTATAGGCTTAACTCACACCACTGGACAGCATGTAGACCTGTTTCTATGGATTCGTTTGATCGAGACAAAACCCCTGATATTTTAAGAAAAGCTTCTTCAGAAAGGGGAGTTGAGGAGGCTAGACTTAGGGAGCTCGTTGAAGCTTCAGCTATTTATCGCGATGGGGGTGGGCTAATTAGTAAGTAACTGCTAATTCTGAGTATTTTAAAGTATACTTAGGCGATGCCAAAATAGAACACAAGATAAATGGAGACGTTACAGTCACATGGTTCTGTGATGGAAGAGCCAACTCTTTACTTGTTTCACCTTTAACTGGGGGCTTCAGTCTTTCTGCAAAAAATCTCGGAATTACAATTACTCCGAAAGCTGAGGTCTTCATTGTATTTGCTGATTTCTTTGTTCACGTTGGGTAAGTCGAATCTCAAGATACCTTCATTTAGGCCACCTCCTTTTTATTAGCAATATTCATTCTTTTCTATAGGAGCATTCAGATGCTGGTCAGCAGTGGAGCCGTTCTGAGTAGGATAAGAAATCCAAAGATTCATCTTTGCTTGTTGCGGCTAACAAGCAGCTCAAAGGACGGCCAAAACAATGATGCTAAGCATTTCTGTGCATACAACATGAAACCACTTGGGGACTATCGGTTTCAGGGAAGCCATTTTAGAACAATAAACCCTAATCATTCTACCCCTCCAGTCCAGCTTTGCCCGACGCCAACGTCTGAATCTTCAGGCTTGCCTGCCCTAAATGAATCTCCAAGTCTTTTATCAATTGAGTCTTTGCACATACAAAAGGAGGAAAGTGATGAAAATGGCTTAGGCATAAATGAAATGGCTGTCCAAATCACCGAAGGAATATAATGAGTAGGTCTATTATTAATAATTTTAGTATTTTTAAGGCGATACGAAACATTCGTTATTCACTCTTATTACTAATTATTTCCAGCAATTGTGCAGTTTCTCAATTGGATATACTTATTCAGATGCTAGTTGATGTGATACAGTGCTCATCTTAATACATGTAACTAATTGCGATTAGGGCAATTGAATATTACAGTTTTAGTATGGCTCTGAAGAACATAGAAACAGGAAAAAACTCTTATATTCCTATGGATATAAATTCGGATAGAAGACTTCAGTGGCCAGGAACCTATCAGGTCTTGCTTAAAAGTCAAGGAT